CCTGTTCTACAATACAGTCGTAAGCTGTAAGTCGTAAGAAATCGACCAATTACAAACAAATTACAGAAGAATAATTGATTGTGATTGGTCAATTTCTTACGACTTACAGCTTACGACTGTATTGTAGAACAGGCTTTAATAGTAGGTGGCGACTGCGGTCGTCGGTAGAATCTTCTAGTTCACTAGACTACGTTCATGGAGCGCGTTATAGTGCTATTGCATCAAGTGCACGTTTCAACGCTGACAACGACAAGTGGTGTTGCATCAGCCGTGCCGGCTAGATGTGCGTAGTTAAGCCTAGATATTTTTGGACAATTTTCGGTGTTTTTACACCGTCAACCTCACCTTATTTATTAGTTTTAACGAATATACAACTCCGTGGCTTGGTGTCAGGTACTCAAACTACGGTTTAAGATCTATCGTTAGGGTGCGATCCCATGCACTGTTATTTACCGCGGAACGCGTAACGCGTAACCAATCAGAGAGATTACGTGTTTAATATGAAACATATATATTAAATACGTAATCTCTTTGATTGGTTACGCGTTACGCGTTACGCGGTAAATAACAGTGCATGGAATCGTACCCTTACAAGTACGTAGAACGGCGTGTGGACTTGCGTTGTAAGTCCATTCAGCCAAGGACACCAAACAAACTAAATATCCATAAACGTATAAGTACATAAATATCTTAGAATCAAGTGTACAACAAGGACCTAATCCGCCTTAACATGTTTTATTTATGATGTTTGAACACACCTTATCAACCCTTTGGGGGCCAGCGCCATATTAGCAAAGAAGAAGAAGAAGTGCTATTGCATCATTCCATTTTTGTTTTTCGACCGTGATGCTACTTTGTTTGCAACTTGCAGATTGCAATTTGCAAATTTGTTGTTTTATTTTATCGTTCTGGAGTTTGAATACTACGCAGTTGGCAGTGCAAGACGCGGCTAAAAAAAGAAACGGTAAATATAAGTAATATACAAACCACAATTACATTTAGAATGATAAAACGTTCACCAACGTCAAATTTGTTTTTTGCGTATTTACACCTGATTTAGTCGGTATATATATAATAGCTATATTCCAAAATTAAGTGTTAGTACTGAAAGCGTCGTTTATTTTTCCCTGTCAAAACCATGATGTTAAAATGAGATGAAATAATGCTCTCAGTATACTAACAGTTAATTTCGGAACATAACCAACGTGAGACGAATCGGCAATATATAATCTCTCTTTTCCGATAAAACCACTTGTTTTATTCACATTTAGAATATATATTGGCAATAATTGCTGGGACAGTTGGATTACTCAGATCTGGACAGCAGCAAAGGGAATGATGTAATAGCGCAGTCGGCCGTAGTATCACTTTGTTTGCAACAAATGAAGATTG